AGCTTGCTCATATTCCTAAGGGAGTGTGCTCACTTTTTAAATCTCCATAACACTTTGATTCTCCCTTGAAGCTCATAGCCTGCGTTTTTCCCATCCTAGACTGTAAACACCAAGAGAACAAGGTTTGTATTTGTTTCATATTCATATGCCTCTCTCTCACCTCCTATCCAGAGCTGTGCATACAGTGGGAGCCCAGTAATTTATTTCTTGAACTGAGTGAAATGGAGCCTACATTTTGGGCTGTTGGGAACTGAAGGAGGTGGGAACAGGGTGCTCAGAGGCCTCAGGAGACCATAGGAGTGTGTTCATTATGGGGAGGCAAGGACCTGTATGGGGAGGTGAGTGGGGAGTCTGGGCCTCCTCAGACCTTATTGGAGGCGGGGAGCACATTGTTGAAGACAACAGGTGGCTGGGAGGGCCTTGGAGATGGGGTGAGTTGAGGAAGGGCACCAAGTGTTGGGGGGACTATAGGTTGGTCCCCAGCACCAGGTCTGCTGGACCCCAAGTCTCTGCTTCCTTAGGGACAGGCTCACAAAGGGGTAGGAACCTGGGGGCTTAGCTTCTGGTCACATCTCCCTTACCTTCTAGCTGTACAGCCTTGGACATGTTACTTCCCCTCTCCAGGCCTATTCAACCAAAAAATAGGCCCTTTTAACTCCTATGACCCTTTTAGCTCTGCTATTCTGACTCCATGGTGAGGTTCTGAACCAGAGGGGTGCTGATCAGTCGGGATTTGTATATGCCTCCCTCCCCAGGTCTGAACGCCAGGAATGACCCTACCTTGGTTCTAGACAGTGTTTCCCAGAGAAGGTGGCAGAGCCCAAAACCATGCAAAAGGAGGCCCGTGTCCGGGATAGGAGTGTGGAGGCGAGTGGTAGAGGGAGACAATGCCCTCAGCTGAAAGCAAGTAAAGTGCCCAGTTAAGAGTTTCCAGGGGCCCCCCTTTCCTTCACTGTGCTTCCCTGTCTTCTTCTTTGCCCCAATCCCCATATGCAGTAAATATAGATCTGGGATTTGAATCCCAGCTGCTTGACATGTGTCTTTGACAAAGTCACATAACCTCTCTGAGCCTCAGTTTCCACATTTGTAAATGGAGTTAGTGGAACTACTCATAAGAAAATGTGCAGCACTGTGCCTCCTGCTAGATCTCCTTTCCTGGGTCTGGAAAAGGACAGTTGATACAAACTGTCCCACAGGCCACAGGGTAAATGGTTGGTGGTGCTCTGGGGCGGGCACAGTGGCGGTGGGGCAGGGCATTTGGATGAGCAGGCTGATGATGGTGGTGAGGCTGGATGGGAAGAACAGGCAGAGAGGAATTGCCTTGTGAGGAAGGGCCACTTCTCTGTAGACCTGTTTATTGTGTTATCAAGGACCAAGATGTTCTCTGGAATTTTTCTTTGGGGGTGCAGCATTGAGCCCCAGAGGATGGATGTGGGGTGTCAGGATGGGGAAGGCTGTCCGGTCTCATAGCAATCATAGCAAGCCTGGTTTGCATATGCACTGTGGGTGTTCCTGCCACTCTTTTGAGCCTGGTTCATCCAAGGCCCCCAGTTTCTAATCTGGTTGGGAAGGATTTATTTTTGGGTCCCTGTAACCTAGCAATGGGCTCACATGACCAGTGGCAGCTGCAGGCTGAATACACTGTTGGATCTTGGCTCCTGGCAGGGGGTGTAGGCCAGACTGTGGGGGAATAAAGGGAATGGAAAGGCTCTCACCTCTACTTTCCTCCATCTCCCTCCTCAGCTCCTTAGCCTGACCCCCAGATGGTGGGCAGGAAGGTGGATGCCTGGAGAGCAGGCATGGCAGGTGCCAGCATAGGAGACTCTGGCCAGCCGGATCTGAGCTGCGGTGGGGAGGTCCCAGCTATGAGGCAGCTGCCTGTGTGGGAGAGGTGCAGTGTCCGTGTGGATGAAAGTGACACACAGGGGCAATGCTGGCATCTGGGGGTGAGGCCAGGCTGAGGAGTAAGTGGCTGAGCCATGGGTCTATGTTGTAGGATCTCAGGGACACCCCTGGTGGATGCCAGAATCCCAACATTCAGGTTCTTCCCTTTGTTCCCTGTTAAATTGTTAATATTCCTGGGAGAGAGAACACGTTCAGCTGCTATCGGGGTGAACAGATTTATCAGCCTCTTTCCTGAGAGCAGATTCTGACAGGAGTAGAGAGCAGAGGAAGGCAGTGGGTACCGCTAAGCAGGTGACGGGCAACAGGGAGGGGCTGTGGGCACAAGAAACATTTGGTAGGTATTTATTGAATAAATGGGTGGATGAATGAAAGATAAACTTGGTTGGCTTCAAGGTCTCATCTTGGGGCAGGAAAGTGTGGGTGGGGAGTGGACATAACCCTGTCAAGAGGGCAAGGGTGGGCAGGGCTGCACCAAGTAGCAAGTCTGGGGTGGAAAACTCAGCCCTCAGCCCCAAGGGTCCTGCTGCTGTACTGAGCTGAGGGGTGCCAGGGCTGCCGCCTTGTAACAGGGACCACGTCTGGGTGTGCATGTAGCATGTGGGCCAGTGATCTCTGATGTGGCTCGTGGGACCACCCCCAGGTTCTCCACTTTGGCCTTCCCACCTCTTCCACTGTGCTAAGCTCTAGAAGGAGGGAATGGCAAAATTGGGTAGAAGGATGTAATGTCAATAGCTATTCCAAGCCTGGACTGAGATCATTTATGTGGTACTGCCTAAGAAGGGCCTCCCCAGCCTGGGCCCTCAAGAACTAATATCATCATCATCACCGTTGCTGTTACTCTATCAGCTGCCTCTGGGCCAGGAGAGGCAGGCGTTCCTTCCCTGTACTCTCTCCTGGGCCAGACTGGTTTCCAGCAACCAGGAGGATGCTTGCAGCCCCCTTTCCCAGTGGCCGTCTGGGAGGGGCCTCAGGCCCTGGAGACGCTGCCTGCCGGCCATTACCCCAGCTGTTTGGCTAGTAACTGCGGCAGCTCGCGCAAGCCTGAGAAGCAGGCTCTGGCTGTATTGCAGGCTCTCTATCCCTGTTAGATAAACTGGGGAATGAAGAATTTTTGCTTGTTTTATAAATAAATAAAACCAAGGCTCAGATGACGAACTTGCAAGCCAAGGTCTCACCACCAGTTAAGAGCATAGAGCCCAACTAGAACCAAGGTTTTCAGGCCAATCCAGGGCTCTTCTTATAACCCTGTGCTGATGAGCCTGAGTCTGCTCTGATCCCTTCCGAACCCTTGGAAAGGAGCGTGTCAGTCTGGACTGGGCCTGCACGAAGGATGAGCTGCTGATCAGGAGACAGGATTTGCCTGATTCCAGAGGGTTTGAACCATGTCAAGATGATTTTGCCAACACAACAGCACAGGGTTTGATTAAAATCATTTTGCTGTCTACAGGTTTAAATTTGAAATTTTAATTTGATTTCCCTATACTCAGGTATACTTAGTTTTGTTGCAGGCTGTTTCCTGGAAGGCGGTGGCCACTTCTATGGAATCAGCTTTAGGGTGTCAGCCCAGAGTATCATGTCAGGCCTCCAGAGAGGCTATGGGGGCACAAGTGAAGGTGTAAATGCTCCAGCTTCAAACAGGCCTGGGTTCAAATATTGATTCTGGTACTTATATTAACTAGGGATCTGGGAAAAGTCACTTCACCTCTGGGATCCATTTCCTCATCTGTAACATAAGGCAAGTGATGGCCACCTCATATAACTGGTGCTTGGAGCAAGGGTATTATGTGCAAAGGCCTGGCCCTTGTTAGAGCTCAAGAAAGGGTGGCTTGGGCTAGTGGAGATCATTGCATCAGCTATAGGCTGGTCAGTGGCCTCTTTGTTGTTGACCTGGGGCCTGGGCAGCCACCTTGCCCACTCTGAGTTCCCTGGGTAATTCATCGTTCTTGTGGCTCTCTGGGTTGGGTCTGGTGAACAACGCCAGAATTCGCTTTCTTCCCTTTTGGAGACAGAAAGAGTTTCTGGCTAGCAAGCCTCAGGGCAGAGGGCTCTGGAGTAGGTATCATGCCTGAATTCCTTGTCTAGTTTCATGGCTCTGCCATGTGTGGCTTTGGGCAATCTCTTCACCTCTCTGGGCCTCAGAAGCATGGATGCCTTGGCCTATAGGATGTCTCACAGCTCTACAATGTTAGGATCCTATCTGTGCATGTCAGTCATGTACCTGGGAGAACTGGCCACTTTCTTCCTGGTGAGTGGGAAGCCATGCCCCTTTATCTCAACTCCAAAGGCTCATCACATGGCCTTGGAGCCTCTGTGGGTGGTGTTCCTCAGCGCTGTCCAGCCCTACAGATCTGGGCCATTCTGAGCCCCCCAAGGTGCCTGGCCCCCGCTCTCCCCTCAGGGAGCAGTGTCGTGGCAGCTCCATGGGATGGCTGCTGGGGCTCCTCTATCTCCATCAACACTCCCAGCCCCATACCAAACAAACATACAGTCTAACAATAACAATATGCTTCCTAAGGGGTACAGGGTTAGGACAAGACCTTCAGCTCTGCTGACTCCCACTTGTAAACCTGTCCTCTATGTGCATTTGGCAGCTTCCAAAGGAACCAGACCGTGGATCATGCCCTGGAGCCTGGCCCCTGCCAGGCCTAACTCTGGGTGGGGCCCTGAGTCTCTACTGACTGGCCAGCTGCAAAAGCACCTTGCTTCTAATGTCACACAGAACCAGCAGCCTTAAGGATCATCTGTCCTATATTCTCTTTAACAAATAAGAAACCAAGGCCAGAAATGGGAAGTGACTTGCCCAAGGTCACATAGTTAGCACGTGCCAGAGCCAGGCCTTAAACCTTGATTTTTGACTCCACATGCTCTTTTTACTTCATCAGGCTGGCCAAGAAGGTCTCCCCTGCCTACCATCACCTGGCTCCACTAGCTTTTGAGATGCCACTCCAGCAACCTGAGAAAAGTGAGCAGGGCTGGGCATACTCCTGGGCCTTGCCTGGGTGCACTGGTGTCTGGCTCCTGGCTCCAAGGGGCTGGGTGGGAAGCAGGAGGCCATTAGGACCCAGAAGCTCTCAGAGCATCCTGCTTTGCCGGTTGCCTCTCACTGATCACTGCAGTAGTTCAGGCTTCAGCAGCCTTGGAGAAGCATCAGCTGAGAGGAGCTATCACATGGGAGCCAGAGCTGCTCAGCAAAGGTAGGAGTTGCCGACTAGGCCAGGAACCAGGGCCAGTCCCAGGGCCTGGTGCTGAGTCCTGACATACCCCACAGAAAGGTAGCTCCGCAGCCCAAGGACCAGTCCACCCTACCTTATGGTGGGCAGTTTTGTCAAGGGGTGGGCTCCCAGGTAACCCAAGGGCGGCACGGGGGTATGGGCATCTCGGAAGCCTAGAGATGGGGGTTGATCTCCTTCCAGCAGGAGTACCCACATCCAGCGGGCAGACAGTTCCCTGTCTTTCTCCATGTCATAGAGATGGGTCCCCCACATCCTAGGAATGAGTCCTTTGCCATCCAGGCTGATGGGCAACTCTGCGTTCCTGGGTGTGGGCAACTCTATTGGGGAGAGGAGTGGTAGCCCCTTGGAAATCTCCCCTAGCTTAGGAGGGGCATGCTCTTGTCTGAAGGAAGGCTGGGCTTGGGTCCTTGAGATGGAAGCTCTGTATCTGGGAAACAGGTGCATGTGAATCCCAGCGACACCTCTGTGATCTTGGGTTGGGCACTTATGTACACCTTGCATCCTGAAACAAGGATATTTGTAACTTGACTGTGCCTGTTAGTGGCCCATACCTTAGCCCCTATGGTGGCAAAACATTCAGGTACTGAGAGGTCCTGGAGGTGAGGGAGGGGTTGCTGGAAGGAAGCAGTGGGAGAACAAGAGCTTCTGAAAAGGAATGATGATGTGAGCTAGGAGTGGAGTCAGGCTCCCTGAGCTTCCCTCTGAAACCGCTGTACCACAGCCCTCCCCTTCATAATCCCAGTCCATCAGCACGGGAGTGCTGGGAAACAGGTATATTGTTCTGCCTGTTAGGAAGAAATTTGGAATTCTGGAATTAAGGAGTCAGTGTGGAGATACCGGGAAGGCTGAGGGGGCTATGGAAGAGAGAAACGTACAATGCCTCTTGCCTGGGGCTCCATCATGGCTGCAAAGTACCCCTTCCTTCTCCACGTGGAAACCATGTCTGCTTCCAACAGTCTGGGGCCCTGAGTGGGCCCTCCTGGTAGACTCTTGATGTCCACGCAGACATGGGGGGCCTTCACTCACTTAACTCGCCGGTCCTTGGAGCCACATCTTTGGAGGCCCTCTCCTGGCTAGAAAGGGTGGGAAAGTCATGGCATAGAAACTAAAGGGCAAGGATGCCTGACTAGTATTTCTCTCTGTATTTTTTGATAGACTGCTGATGTCTCCACTTTGGGGCCCTCTCTTCACCTTCTCTGCAGACCCTGAGTCTGTGTAGCCATTTTATCTGTGAAATGAGCTTTCTGTTATCACTGGGGAGAGGCACATCTCTAGACAGCTGTCCTACATCAGGGCTACCTGGAGTTCAGGAACCCAAGTTACCCTTTCCAGAAGAGATCCCCTGGCTGGCACCCAGCTGAGTGAGTGAGTGTTTTTGGAGTAAGGGGGCAGAAATTCAACGGATTAATTTCAGTTTGATTCAATTCACAAATTTGTATTGAGCACATATTGCATGCATGGCATGTTAAAAGTTAAATCAGTGCAAGTTTGGTGGTAATGCCAAAAACCAAGGGTGATCGTAAGGCTGTAACTATGGAGGAGGAATGGGGACTACCTGCCCCATGTAGTCTTCTTTATCACAGAAAATGATAATTTTTTAAAATTTAGCAAACCCCAGAGCCCATAGCCTAGAAACTCAGAGAATCATCAAATGTTATCACACGTGGAAAACTTGGAGGTTCTCCAGTCCAACTCTCCCATTTTACAGTCGAGGAAACTGACCCAGGGAACTGGTGATTTGCTTACAGAAAGCCCATCAGACCTGGCATGCCCACAGCTTGCCTCTAACTGGCATACCTTAGCACGCTGTACTGAGGGAATCTGGACTGCAAGAATAGTATACGGAAATGAAAAAAATTACTACACTGGGCAACTTACTTCAATTATATGAAAACTCAGCACAGATAATGAGACACATAAAACAGATTTGATCTGCCATTTGATCAAGAGAAATGAGACACTGAGACTCCAGACTAATTTCTCTCCCAGTTTCTTCCAGTTTTCTTCTCTGCTTTATGCTCACCCACTTCCACAATCATAGTTACCTAACTACTCTTCACACCTACCCCATCTCTTGTATGGATGCCTAATCCTCCCTCCTCAGGGTGTGACTGTACTCACAGTCCAGGATCAAGAGGGCTCTGGGCCAGGGACCCTCCAGTCCCATGACCAGAGATTTGGGGAGAAGGGCAGTTTTCAAGTGACTTATGCCCTTCTGCCTTTGGGAGCAGTGGAGGCTGGATGAGCTGACCTCCCAGTTTCCTCTCATCAGGGACGTTGTTTTCACTGCTCCTTCTCAATACTGTCCCAGTGGCAGCTGTGTCTCTGGGGTGGTGATGTTGATGGAGACGACAGCAGAGTCTCTCCCGTTTTCAGGTGATATCTTCCCAGTGGCAGCCTCAGAGCACTGAGACACTCTTAGGAATGATTCAAATCCAACAACTCTTTACTGAATGCCTGTTATGTTCCAGCTGCTGTGGGGGGCTCCCTCAGGCATGGCACCAGGGGGCTGGAGGACCGGCCCTGGCGCCAGACCCCCCAGGTGTGTACCAGGACCTTGCCATGTACTAGCTGTGTGACCTCTGGTAAGTTAACCTCTCTAGACCTCAGTTTTATCAATTGCAAAATGGGGATTAGAATAATATCTACCTCATGGGGTTGTGTGAGGATTAAAATGAGTTAATGTATGTAGAGTGCTTGAAACAGGGCCTGGCATGTGAAAAGTGCCATATAAATATTATTATTACTAGTATTGTTATTAATAAATCTCACAGGATCCTCTGGACAGTTGTGAAGTAGGTATTGTTCCCTTCATCTTACAGATGATTTTACGAGGAAACTGAAGTTCAGAGGACTTGTGGAGTTAATAATTCCCAGACCTGGGACTGGAAACCAAATCTTGTGTTCCTTCTACACCCTGACAGCTCTTACCATTCTGAGGAGACAAGAAATCAGGAAATTTATATAAGCAACTTTAAAACTGGGGTGCTATCCCAGAGCCCAGCAGGACTCTGGGAAAGGGAAGACAGAGGATTTAGAATCTCTGGGTAACAGTCCTTGAGAGAGGAGAAGGGTATGGAGAACAGAGAAAAGGAAGTGGAAAAGGAGCTGGAGACCATTCAGAAGGTGGGATGAATGGGCGAGGCACATGCACCTCTCTCTTCTGCTTCTTCGAAATCATCAAGGCAGAGCCCAGCAGCTTCCTGCCAGGAGAGATGAGCTCCTGAATCCTCCATTACTGGTCTGGTGCTCTGTTGAGAGCAATTCAGCCCCAACGGCTGGTGATAGGAGCCTGCCAGAAAGGCTGCAGCAGGAGGCACCATCTTCCCCCACCTCTCGGCCCCCACAAAATTGCGAAGCCTGGGCTCGCCATCCCAGGGTCACTGGACTAGGATGGGGGATGGGCCTGTGACAGGAGGTGCCCTGGGTGTCCTCTTTTGGCCCCATGGAGTCCTCACCCATCCCCCAGTCATCAGGAAACTCTTCCACTCTGGGGAGGGCCCCTCAAACCCCAGGTCCCCCTACTGCCAGTGGGGTCCCGGAGGTGGGGCTTCAGGATGTGGCTTCAGAATCTGTGGCCCTCTTCTTCATGCTCCTGCTGGATTTGATCGCTGTGGCTGGCAATGCAGCTGTGATGGCTGTTATCGCCAAGACACCTGCCCTCCGAAAATTTGTCTTTGTCTTCCACCTCTGCCTCGTGGACTTGCTGGCTGCCCTAACCCTCATGCCCCTGGCCATGCTCTCCAGCTCTGCCCTCTTTGACCATGACCTCTTTGGGGAGGTTGCCTGCCGCCTCTACTTGTTCCTGAGCATATGCTTTGTCAGCTTGGCCATTCTCTCGGTGTCCGCCATCAACGTGGAGCGCTACTATTATGTGGTCCACCCCATGCGCTACGAGGTGCGCATGACGCTGGGGCTGATGGCCTCTGTGCTGGTGGGTGTGTGGGTAAAGGCCTTAGCCATGGCTTCTGTGCCAGTATTGGGAAGGGTCTCCCGGGAGGAGGGAGCTCCCAGCATCTCCCCAGGCTGCTCACTCCAATGGAGCAACAGTGCCTACTGTCAGCTTTTTGTGGTGGTCTTTGCGGCCCTTTACTTCCTGTCGCCCCTGCTCCTCATCCTTGTGGTCTACTGCAGCATGTTCCGAGTAGCCCGGGTGGCTGCCATGCAGCACGGACCACTGCCCACATGGATGGAGACACCTCGGCAACGCTCTGAGTCCCTCAGCAGCCGCTCCACTATGGTCACCAGCTCAGGGGCCCCCCAGACCACCCCGCACCGGACGTTTGGGGGAGGGAAGGCAGCAGTGGTCCTCCTGGCTGTGGGGGGACAGTTCCTGCTTTGTTGGTTGCCCTACTTTTCTTTCCATCTCTATGTTGCCCTGAGTGCCCAACCCATTTCAACTGGGCAGGTGGAGAATGTGGTAACCTGGATTGGCTACTTCTGCTTCACTTCCAACCCTTTCTTCTATGGATGTCTCAACCGGCAGATCCGGGGAGAGCTCAGCAAGCAGTTTGTCTGCTTCTTCAAGCAGACGCCAGAGGAGGAGCTGAGGCTACCGAGCCGGGAGGGCTCCATTGAGGAGAACTTCCTGCAGTTCCTTCAGGGTACTGGCTGTCCTACAGAGTCCTGGGCTTCCCAGCCCCTACCCAGCCCCAAGCAGGAACCACCTGCTGTTGACTTTCGAATTCCAGGTCAGATAGCTGAAGAGACTTCTGAGTTCCTGGAGCAACAACTCACCAGCGACATCATAATGTCGGACAGCTACCTCTGTCCTGCCCCCTCACCTCGGCTGGATTCGTGATGGGCTGCTGGACACTTGGAGGGAGATGGGCTTGGGGCTGGTTATGACTGCAGGGAACACCTTGTGGAATTACCTTTCCCAGCCAGCTGGGGCTGGGGCTGGGGTCTCTGCACACAGCTTTTACTTAGTGTTTTCTGGGTCAGGAGCCAACAGGATGGATGTGTGCCAAAGCCTTGGACATGGCTGTGATCCTTGACTACTGGGGGAGGGAACCTGGTGAGATGATAACGAGAGTAAAGGATCATGAAGGTGAGATGATGCCTTTCAACCAGTGAACTTTCCATGCATCAGGGATCAGGGAAATTCTCAGGATAGAAGTTGGAGGATATAGGGCAGCAGGCCAGGTTTGGAGTTATTCTGTGGACCCTTTAAGATATTTCATTTTTCAGTGTTGTTGTCCAGGGCAGTAATTTCACCCAAACAAGGTAAGAAAATGACCAGTGTCTTCTTATTTCTTTGCTAGGTTTAAAAAGAACTAAATTATAATCAAGTGTTTCCATTTGAGTTCCTAGATCTTTTTCTAGTTTTAGATCTGAGATTTCCATAATGTGAGATCAGCTAGGTATATTCCTGAGTTTGACCAGAAGCAAGGGGATAGCAATAAGGGTACACAGAGTAGAAGGCAGGAGAGCCAACTGCAGCTCTCTCACTCTTCAAGAATAGCCGTTCTGTTGTATTTTCCTGCCTCCTGCATATGGGAGGTCTGCTTGGGGCTTGATCCCAGCAGAGGCAAGAATAAGATAGGATGGTTCTTTCTGCTTGTTTAGGATGAAGTGGAAAGGCTGGGGTTGGAGGGAAGGGGGGGTTAGTATTTGAATTGCTAAGGTGGTTGAATACAGAGGCACCCTAACCAATAATATTGTCAATCTTTTTTTTCTAGGATTGGCCTCCCTGATCTCTCTCCTCATGGCAGTGACCCACCTCCAGCCCCCTGGACAACCGGGTACAAAGACTAAGGTTGGGATGGGAATGGTGGGGTTTCCATAGTCCATTAAATGCCTCTCTACTCCCATTCACAGTTCTCAAAATTTAGCTTCAATAACAAAGACTCAACTCTCTCTCCTATCTGCAGCCCTGGGTTGGAGAGAGGGCATAGGAGTTGGGCTCAGCTGTTCATTGAGACTGTAGGAACTGTCTTGGTCTTGGTGGTGGTATTTTCAAGGGAGGGGTAATAATTGCAAACTGGATAGGACACCCACCTGGGACTACCTGTCCATCCACTTCCCCCACTTGAATCAGGTAACATTAAAATAAGGTCAAGGCAGGACCAGAGGGTGGTGTGGTCTATATTTGAACACATTCCCAGCTCTTTGGGTATCAAAGGGGAAGACGGGCTGGTGGGAGTGGGATAGTTTCCCCTTTGAACAGCCAATAAATAATTTTTATTATAAAAGCTACACTGATATTAACATTGACTCCTTCAGTTCAATGAAGTATATAATAGCTGGATGGCCAATATTCTCTGGGATCCACACAGAGGATGAGGCATCACTGCCTTCAAGGAGTTCATAGTCTAATCTGATCAGGCATCTTGTACTTTTAGAGCATTTACATCTGGTAATGCACTATAGAATATGTGTTGAGAAATATACTGGAGAATGTTTATGCTTCTATCTTCTGAGTTCAGTACATTGCAGCAAGATACCTACATGGAGGCTTCCTACAGATTGTGGAAAGTGTGGGGGTTGTAAATGAAACTCTAGTTGAAGAAAATATTAACTGAAGCTGGGCAAATAGCTTTCCACCTTTAGATCTAGGAAACTTTCCAGGTTTCTGTCTTCCCACTAGACTTACTCTAGTCCAGGACCTATTACGTTGAGGAAATCTCTTAGCATATAACCCAGGAGAGTCTTTGTGACTGAAAAATGTTTTCTCTCCCCTCCCCTTGTAAGAGGAATGTCATTCCTAGATAGGGGAAAACTTCCAAACATCACTCATCAGCTAGCAGGTCTTAAGCATTGCCAGCAGATGGCAGTTGAATCCAGTAGAAATAGGGAAGGAGAAGGTTTGAGACAGGGGAAAGGGGAGAGGGGAGGGCATTAAACATTGCTTGGCAGCCATTTTGTTAATTTATTTTGCCTTTTCCTTGACTTTGCCCTCCAACCCTTCCTTTTTAAGTGCAAGGATATCTCTGATTCAGGCTGAAATTTCCTGATTATATGATCTCAGGATTTTATTACAGAATTGACATTTGCTGGTTCATTTGCCATTTATTTTTCCCTGTGCAGATCATGAAGGAAATAAAATTTTTTCTTGTTGAGAACTTTGCCAACAATTTCTGCCTTGACCACCTTTCAGGAGTTCTCTAGGTACCAGGATCACTTGGTAAAGTTCAGCATGTAACTTTTAGCTGTGAAAGCTGTTCCTGGACAAAATCTGACCTAATTTTCCCTCTCACTGAAGAATCAACAGGCTTAGACAACCATGTTGCCAGTTACTTCTTTCCTGCACCCTAGTGGTGATGGTGTAACTTTCAATCTTAAGACGTGTCAGGTCTCCCCAGGGAACATCTTATAGTGCCAAGGTAGAAAAGGGGTGAATTTGGAGTCAGACATCTACTTACTTACTGTGTGAACTTGGAAAAGTTGCTTAATTTCTCCAAGCCTATTTCCTCATCTTAAAAACAGGGCTAATATTACCTACCCAAGGGTTATTGTGAGGATTAAAAGACATGATACATGGCAGCACCTAGCCATACCTGGCAAATGGGTACTCAATAAATATTGATTTTTCTTTCCTTTCCTCTTGCCCTTTCCCCCCCATAAGTACCGACTATGGAAAAGCAGTCTCTTTTATTCTGTCATTTGGGAATGAGTAGGAGAGTTTTCAAACTTTTAAGAACTGGCATTGATAAGTTATGGTGGATGAGGCTGTCTAAAGGAGCTTCTAGATTTCTCTCAAGAGATCTAATTAATGAATTACTATACAGACTTTTTGTTGGGACCTTACATTTTATTAGATTTTATTAGGGAAATAATTTTTAATCACAGGTAAAGGTTTTTGGCACTACAAGAGTTCCCCTGGGATGTATGGTGAGAGTATTTGTGTAGCTGTCTGGCAGTAAAGGTAATTTAGGGCCACCTATACTACATGTAGTCCCCAGAATTATTAGTCAAAAAGGCTATCAATCCGGCATTTTCATAAAAGATTTATTTTCAAGTGATGCTAGAGCTGAGGCAAATTTTACTAGAATTTTCCTTTTGTATGGTACCACAACAGGAAATTTTAGGAGATTCACAGGATGCACTGGTTTGTATTGGGGTGTGGGACTGAGGCTGACTAATCCTGGTAGAAGTCCTAAGTCTAAGACAGGGCGATCTATAAGCGCTGAAACTGACTTATATTGGAGAAAGGTAACATGGAAATTTTATGGAGGAACTACATGATTACCTTTCTAACTCACACTCAGTTACCTATTTCAAGTGGCCCTCTGCTGGCATAGTAGCTGGGCAACTCTCAAGCCCACAGAAATTCGCACATTAACTGCACAAGGACCAGAGTACATTTTGAGAGCAGTAGGCGGTGGGCCAGAAGAGAGGGCAGAAAGGGATCGCTTAAGTCCTAGGCACGGTAGGTCTTAGAGATCGCAGACGTGAAACGTGGCCAGGGCCCAGGCTCTGTAGTTTGTTCCTGTCCGATAGATCTGAGACGATCACAGCAGAAAGAGGGTCCTACACTTAGGGGGCAAGGGTCCCAGAGCTCCACAGCCAGAGATCAAAGGGACTTTCTGGCCAGTGAGACATTTCCAGCAGAAATTCCCGTGCGGACTGTGGGCTGTCAGTTGGAAATCCCCACCCACTCACCTCCCCATCCAAGACCGGCTATGTGACTGCGGCAGGGCGCCTTGAACTGGAGAAGCCAGTCCCTGGTTTTTCTAAGTTTATCCAAATAAGGCAGCCGAAAGGTGAAAAAGGACTAAGGTTGAGCGGCGCGCAGGGAGCTCGACAGAACCTCGTTACTCCGCGAGAGCGCTTCTTCGCCTCATCAACCCTCTCTCGCGAACTTCCGCTTTCGATCTCACCTCTTCTACCCCGACTGGCGAGGATCTAAGAGTAACCGCCGCGGGGCGTTGCCGGAAGTGTCGTAACGCCGGATATCCGGGTTCTTCCGCCGCTCCTGAAGCTGACGGAGAGGGCCGCCGCCCAGCAGTAGGAGCTGTCTCAATCAGCCCTGCTGCACAGTCTCAGCGCTGTGTAAGTGAGCCCGGGCCCGGTCCGCTGTCCCGCCGCCGCCATGGGCTGCACGTTGAGCGCCGAAGACAAGGCGGCGGTGGAGCGAAGTAAGATGATCGACCGCAACTTGCGGGAGGACGGAGAGAAAGCGGCCAAAGAAGTGAAGCTCCTGCTACTCGGTGAGGGGTCTGGGGGCGGGGCTGACGGGGAAATATGGAGGGCCTAGGCCCTTGGGAGCCCTGAGGGGGTTCCGCCGACTGGGCGGGAAGGACCCCGAAGGGATCTGGAGGACGTGACGGGCACGCGGCGGGGTGTTGGGTTAGTGGCTGAGGCCGTGGAGAGCGTGATGAGGGGGTGGGGTTTTGGGGTTGTAGGAATTAGGCTGGAGAGAGGGTGTGACTCCACCTTGGAATTGGGTTTAGCGGGGAAAGCTTGGGCAGCAAGACATGGAGACTATGTTAGAAATATGGGGAAAACTCATAAAGAAAGAACTGATCTTAGGTAAGGTTTTCTAAGAGATTGGAATGTGTTGGTAGCAAGGAGGACGGGATAGTGTGTTCGGCTTTTATAATGGCTTGTGAGTTTGGAGCGTGGTGATAGTGTGTGACAGGATAGAGCTGGGAGACTTGAAGATTAATATAAATAGAAGGGCTGGGACAATGGCCACATAAGGACCCTGTCATCTGTTAGAGAGTGGGCATTTTGAACTATTCGTCATGTGGAGGAACCCTGGATTATCCAGAAACATGAAGGTGTGTGGTTAAGATAAATGACAAGTTCTCAGGTATAAAGGAAAAGAGCATGGCTGCAGTAACTAGACTTCTCCACTCTTCTCTAGTATTTTTAATCCCTTAAGGTTTTATAACTCCTTTCTTTGTTTTTGTCGAGAGATGGGGTGAGCTGTGGGAATTTAAGGACTGGCTTGTTTGAGGTTTGTGGCCAAAGTCTTAGTGGATAATAGAGTACACATTGAGAGTTACTGAATAGTTGCTAGGGATGATAGTGCAGTGGGAATGGAGTTATTTTAGGATACATTAACAAAATTGGGCATACTTACTGTAAAAGCTGTGACAGACTTCTGGGGAGCTGTTTTGTTTTTTTTGGTCCCATTAAACTAAAAATACTGTCTTCAAGAATTACTGTTTATTTTACCTGATACTCGTTTTAAGTGGCTTTTGCATACAGTCTACATTTTACTCAGCATGATTTGTTTCAAAAATTTTGAAAGACTGGCTTATAGAGGCTAGTAAATTATATGAAGTATGCTGGCATCAGCTAACCAATAAATCAAGTCACATTTTTCAATCCTGGTATTTTCTAGGGATTTGTTAGAGAAGAATAAATAGGAGTAATGGATTCTGTAACCAATAGAACTTTACTTTATAAAATGAGAAAAAGAAGTTGTTTTAAGAAAAGTGCCAAATTTCCATGTGTAAAGCTCCAGAGAACAGACTGCATCATCATAATCCGAGGTTTATTTTGTTCTCCAGAATGTTCTGGGTGCCCAGGTAGTCTCTTGAAATTACTTGGTTTGTAGATTGCAGGAGCACTGTTAACAGCACTTTGGCTGTAGGGGGGAAAGTTAGGCGTTGGAGCTTGAGCTTTCAGTTTGAATACCTGGTCTTGCATAATGCATGAATTCAGGTTGTAGTTGTAGACTGCCACTCTCTGTGTAACAGGTATTATTTGTGGATGATCATGGTCTCTGGTACATAGTAAAACATTCTTGAATACTTACTGTTAACCAGCATGAGCCAGCCAATGTTGGACATTGCTCCTTGTGGCCTTTCAGATGTTTGATATAAACTGTAATACTCAAAGCATTAGCACTGTCTGTATTGATTGATTGGTATCACATCAAAGGGGTGTTTTCATTTTCTGAGTGTTTGATTTACACTGACCATCAGTTATAAATTCCGAGGCTTTCTTCCAATTGGCAGGATTTGGCAGGCAGAATTTAGGCTAGAACTTGTCCAAATGTCTAGAAAAATCTTTATTCAGGACTTTATAATAGTGCATTTACATTAAAACAAAATTAAATACATGGTGACTTAGAGAACTTCAAAAGCAGTAAGTGAAAACCAAAGAACTAAAGCATTTGCTTTTAATTTTTATCAATTTTATTGTTTTAAGATTTTAAAAATATTCTTGACCAAGTTAAATCAACAAATTTAATTAGGTTGTGGAGACAGATGCTCTTGCTTGAGCCATTTCATAATGCACATATTAAATTAAGGCTATCTTCCTCGCTATGTCTGTAAACAGAATTGCACCCATCACAGTATACAATTTCTTTTTGCTGTGGAATATCTTTGATGTACATGCAAGTCATTTTTACTTCATCACTGTGAAACTATAGAACTTAGTCTTAAGTTGAGATGTTTACTTACCCTTGTCTCTCCTGGCACAGAATAGGTATTCATTAAATATTACTGTATTTTCTTCTCTGCAGGGATGTAGTTTAGCATGGTGATAAACAACATGGGCTCTGAAGTCAGACTGTTTCAAATTATTATTCCCATTCCCATATACCACCAAATAACCTTGGGAAAGTTACTCAATTTCTCTCTGCCTCAGTTTCCTTATCTTTAAAATGAAGAAAATAGAGGTACCTAACAGGAGTGCCATGAGGATTAAATAAGATAATAATGTAAAGTACAACTTAGCCTCGTGCATAATATTAGCTCAATGAATATTAGCTGCTATTATTACTAAATCAAAATGAATGTTACAGATTATAGGTACTACAGAAATTCAAATTAAGAAGCTAGTGTGGGCTGAATTATTAAGGAATTATTATAATTCTCTGATACCTTTGACTTGAATTTCCTCTAAATATGTTATTGGGAAAATCTTCATATACTAAATCTGTGTTTAATCAGAATATCTCCTTTCCCAACCAGAATGCATTGCATAGGATGATGTACAAATGTGTTGTTTGCAAGTTTTTTATAGTTTTGAAATTTCAAATTATTTTTATACTTCAGAATTTTACAACTGAAATAATGTTTGAATATTTTTGTTATGATTCCTCTGTAAACTTTCTGAATTTGGCAATTGAAAATATTTCATTTATGCCAATTAGTATTTAATGTCATCTGTAATACTTTGTATTTTATTATTCATGCCATGATTTTATAATGTAAAGAAAAAAATACCATTTTCACTAAACCCCTCCAGCTCACCTCAGTAAGCCTTACAAATATTATCATTTGTAGTACATGTCGTGATGTGTTAAAAGTTGGGAAATACTGACGTAATGGATAAGAGCACTGCTTTTGGAGTCACACGACACTAAATTCAATTCCCTCCTCCACTTACTAGCTGCGAGACCCAGAGCATGTGACTTAACTATATGAATCTTAATTTTCACATACCTAAAGTGGGGATGATGATGCCTGTTTTATAATATGACATGAGATTATGTATAATGCTTAACAAATAAATGTTCAGCACATGGTAACATATGATTACACTGATGTTTGTGAAGCTTATCTTTTTAGCTACTTTTTTAAAGGGTGTTTCAAATATGTTTGATTATTTTTAAAATGAATAGACCCTTTTCAAAGCTCTGCAAGGAATTTTAATAGTTACCATTTTCTGTGATAAAAGAAATTAAGTATCATTTAGTTTTGTAAGTTATTGAATGATCTCCTGTGCTACGTCTAGTTTTCCATTTCTTGTTTAATTTCCATTTCTTGATAGTTCCCTTCTTGATAGTCCCCTTATCAGATCTTGAGAAAACATTATTATACAAAGTAAGATTAATGCTTTGTTTTTAGGATTTTCCTGGTGGTGGTATGGCAAAAGTTTAATTGTATGTAGAGAATTGGTATCATCTAATTGACTTGCACACTGTATTGTGCAAGTGATTATTTTCATTTAAATATCTGCAGTATTACTGGATGGATAAGCTTACTATTAAAAATGAGACTGTTCTTTGGTAAATATGCTACTACATTATATTCTTGTAGAATGATATTCTTTCTAAGTTTGCCATTTATCTGTCATAAGATTCATACTTGTTAAATTTCTTGTGAAGATACATCTTGTGTCTGGGCAAGAAAAAAGAAACTGGCATAAAAAAGATATTCAAATTGCAAAAATAGGTTTGTTCTTTATAAGGACTTATTATTATTTGTGTATTTTATTTAAATGCCTTCATCACTTCTGCAGTCTGAAAATACGGTCCTTTCAGAAATTACAATATTATAAACTTCCTTGACTATGCGAATTCTATAGTAAGTACAGTGATGACCATAGAATAGGAGATTAGTACTCACTCGATTTGACAGGGCATATAACCTTTCAATCAGGGCTGCAACTATCCATGCTCGGTCTTATCCTTATGTTTATAGCCTAGTCTAGTTTTGTTTATTAGGGAGTGGGTCTTGTTGGGGGAAGTGGGGAGGAAGAGATGATTTAAGTATTTAGGAACTAGAATATTAGCAGTAAAACCCAAAAAATAAAAATACAGGTCTCTAAAGAAATGTCTAGAGCAGTGGACATTACATTTAGATTACTGAAGTTTTTTTAAAAAAAAAAATGTTTTCTAATCAACAGATACAATAGACTAGCACTAATAAATACATCTCTTTAAACTGGTAACTCAGTTCAGAGATAGGAGACAACCATGTAATGTAGGGTGAAGCGCAAAGAGACTGAAAATTGTGAGATTAGTCCTAATCTCTGAGCATCATTTTCCTTTTTCTGTACAGTGAGGTGTGACTTCAGGGTCCCTTGTCTGAAAAGTTAGTATTACCAGATGGAATATTTTAGTAAATTATAATGAGGGCTGTTGTCATTTCTCTTATTCTTGACTTTGATGGAAATTAGTTTAACATAATAAGGCTGTTTAGGTAGGTAGTTAAAAACTGAAGTTAAAAATCTGAAAGACATAAATTCATAAAGTACCCATAATGTAAATGTTCAGGAAAATATAAAGTAGTACATTTTGAGAGCAGTAGGCGGTGGGCCAGAAGAGAGGGCAGAAAGGGATCGCTTAAGTCCTAGGCACGGTAGGTCTTAGAGATCGCAGACGTGAAACGTGGCCAGGGCCCAGGCTCTGTAGTTTGTTCCTGTCCGATAGATCTGAGACGATCACAGCAGAAAGAGGGTCCTACACTTAGGGGGCAAGGGTCCCAGAGCTCCACAGCCAGAGATCAAAGGGACTTTCTGGCCAGTGAGACATTTCCAGCAGAAATTCCCGTGCGGACTGTGGGCTGTCAGTTGGAAATCCCCACCCACTCACCTCCCCATCCAAGACCGGCTATGTGACTGCGGCAGGGCGCCTTGAACTGGAGAAGCCAGTCCCTGGTTTTTCTAAGTTTATCCAAATAAGGCAGCCGAAAGGTGAAAAAGGACTAAGGTTGAGCGGCGCGCAGGGAGCTCGACAGAACCTCGTTACTCCGCGAGAGCGCTTCTTCGCCTCATCAACCCTCTCTCGCGAACTTCCGCTTTCGATCTCACCTCTTCTACCCCGACTGGCGAGGATCTAAGAGTAACCGCCGCGGGGCGTTGCCGGAAGTGTCGTAACGCCGGATATCCGGGTTCTTCCGCCGCTCCTGAAGCTGACGGAGAGGGCCGCCGCCCAGCAGTAGGAGCTGTCTCAATCAGCCCTGCTGCACAGTCTCAGCGCTGTGTAAGTGAGCCCGGGCCCGGTCCGCTGTCCCGCCGCCGCCATGGGCTGCACGTTGAGCGCCGAAGACAAGGCGGCGGTGGAGCGAAGTAAGATGATCGACCGCAACTTGCGGGAGGACGGAGAGAAAGCGGCCAAAGAAGTGAAGCTCCTGCTACTCGGTGAGGGGTCTGGGGGCGGGGCTGACGGGGAAATATGGAGGGCCTAGGCCCTTGGGAGCCCTGAGGGGGTTCCGCCGACTGGGCGGGAAGGACCCCGAAGGGATCTGGAGGACGTGACGGGCACGCGGCGGGGTGTTGGGTTAGTGGCTGAGGCCGTGGAGAGCGTGATGAGGGGGTGGGGTTTTGGGGTTGTAGGAATTAGGCTGGAGAGAGGGTGTGACTCCACCTTGGAATTGGGTTTAGCGGGGAAAGCTTGGGCAGCAAGACATGGAGACTATGTTAGAAATATGGGGAAAACTCATAAAGAAAGAACTGATCTTAGGTAAGGTTTTCTAAGAGATTGGAATGTGTTGGTAGCAAGGAGGACGGGATAGTGTGTTCGGCTTTTATAATGGCTTGTGAGTTTGGAGCGTGGTGATAGTGTGTGACAGGATAGAGCTGGGAGACTTGAAGATTAATATAAATAGAAGGGCTGGGACAATGGCCACATAAGGACCCTGTCATCTGTTAGAGAGTGGGCATTTTGAACTATTCGTCATGTGGAGGAACCCTGGATTATCCAGAAACATGAAGGTGTGTGGTTAAGATAAATGACAAGTTCTCAGGTATAAAGGAAAAGAGCATGGCTGCAGTAACTAGACTTCTCCACTCTTCTCTAGTATTTTTAATCCCTTAAGGTTTTATAACTCCTTTCTTTGTTTTTGTCGAGAGATGGGGTGAGCTGTGGGAATTTAAGGACTGGCTTGTTTGAGGTTTGTGGCCAAAGTCTTAGTGGATAATAGAGTACACATTGAGAGTTACTGAATAGTTGCTAGGGATGATAGTGCAGTGGGAATGGAGTTATTTTAGGATACATTAACAAAATTGGGCATACTTACTGTAAAAGCTGTGACAGACTTCTGGGGAGCTGTTTTGTTTTTTTTGGTCCCATTAAACTAAAAATACTGTCTTCAAGAATTACTGTTTATTTTACCTGATACTCGTTTTAAGTGGCTTTTGCATACAGTCTACATTTTACTCAGCATGATTTGTTTCAAAAATTTTGAAAGACTGGCTTATAGAGGCTAGTAAATTATATGAAGTATGCTGGCATCAGCTAACCAATAAATCAAGTCACATTTTTCAATCCTGGTATTTTCTAGGGATTTGTTAGAGAAGAATAAATAGGAGTAATGGATTCTGTAACCAATAGAACTTTACTTTATAAAATGAGAAAAAGAAGTTGTTTTAAGAAAAGTGCCAAATTTCCATGTGTAAAGCTCCAGAGAACAGACTGCATCATCATAATCCGAGGTTTATTTTGTTCTCCAGAATGTTCTGGGTGCCCAGGTAGTCTCTTGAAATTACTTGGTTTGTAGATTGCAGGAGCACTGTTAACAGCACTTTGGCTGTAGGGGGGAAAGTTAGGCGTTGGAGCTTGAGCTTTCAGTTTGAATACCTGGTCTTGCATAATGCATGAATTCAGGTTGTAGTTGTAGACTGCCACTCTCTGTGTAACAGGTATTATTTGTGGATGATCATGGTCTCTGGTACATAGTAAAACATTCTTGAATACTTACTGTTAACCAGCATGAGCCAGCCAATGTTGGACATTGCTCCTTGTGGCCTTTCAGATGTTTGATATAAACTGTAATACTCAAAGCATTAGCACTGTCTGTATTGATTGATTGGTATCACATCAAAGGGGTGTTTTCATTTTCTGAGTGTTTGATTTACACTGACCATCAGTTATAAATTCCGAGGCTTTCTTCCAATTGGCAGGATTTGGCAGGCAGAATTTAGGCTAGAACTTGTCCAAATGTCTAGAAAAATCTTTATTCAGGACTTTATAATAGTGCATTTACATTAAAACAAAATTAAATACATGGTGACTTAGAGAACTTCAAAAGCAGTAAGTGAAAACCAAAGAACTAAAGCATTTGCTTTTAATTTTTATCAATTTTATTGTTTTAAGATTTTAAAAATATTCTTGACCAAGTTAAATCAACAAATTTAATTAGGTTGTGGAGACAGATGCTCTTGCTTGAGCCATTTCATAATGCACATATTAAATTAAGGCTATCTTCCTCGCTATGTCTGTAAACAGAATTGCACCCATCACAGTATACAATTTCTTTTTGCTGTGGAATATCTTTGATGTACATGCAAGTCATTTTTACTTCATCACTGTGAAACTATAGAACTTAGTCTTAAGTTGAGATGTTTACTTACCCTTGTCTCTCCTGGCACAGAATAGGTATTCATTAAATATTACTGTATTTTCTTCTCTGCAGGGATGTAGTTTAGCATGGTGATAAACAACATGGGCTCTGAAGTCAGACTGTTTCAAATTATTATTCCCATTCCCATATACCACCAAATAACCTTGGGAAAGTTACTCAATTTCTCTCTGCCTCAGTTTCCTTATCTTTAAAATGAAGAAAATAGAGGTACCTAACAGGAGTGCCATGAGGATTAAATAAGATAATAATGTAAAGTACAACTTAGCCTCGTGCATAATATTAGCTCAATGAATATTAGCTGCTATTATTACTAAATCAAAATGAATGTTACAGATTATAGGTACTACAGAAATTCAAATTAAGAAGCTAGTGTGGGCTGAATTATTAAGGAATTATTATAATTCTCTGATACCTTTGACTTGAATTTCCTCTAAATATGTTATTGGGAAAATCTTCATATACTAAATCTGTGTTTAATCAGAATATCTCCTTTCCCAACCAGAATGCATTGCATAGGATGATGTACAAATGTGTTGTTTGCAAGTTTTTTATAGTTTTGAAATTTCAAATTATTTTTATACTTCAGAATTTTACAACTGAAATAATGTTTGAATATTTTTGTTATGATTCCTCTGTAAACTTTCTGAATTTGGCAATTGAAAATATTTCATTTATGCCAATTAGTATTTAATGTCATCTGTAATACTTTGTATTTTATTATTCATGCCATGATTTTATAATGTAAAGAAAAAAATACCATTTTCACTAAACCCCTCCAGCTCACCTCAGTAAGCCTTACAAATATTATCATTTGTAGTACATGTCGTGATGTGTTAAAAGTTGGGAAATACTGACGTAATGGATAAGAGCACTGCTTTTGGAGTCACACGACACTAAATTCAATTCCCTCCTCCACTTACTAGCTGCGAGACCCAGAGCATGTGACTTAACTATATGAATCTTAATTTTCACATACCTAAAGTGGGGATGATGATGCCTGTTTTATAATATGACATGAGATTATGTATAATGCTTAACAAATAAATGTTCAGCACATGGTAACATATGATTACACTGATGTTTGTGAAGCTTATCTTTTTAGCTACTTTTTTAAAGGGTGTTTCAAATATGTTTGATTATTTTTAAAATGAATAGACCCTTTTCAAAGCTCTGCAAGGAATTTTAATAGTTACCATTTTCTGTGATAAAAGAAATTAAGTATCATTTAGTTTTGTAAGTTATTGAATGATCTCCTGTGCTACGTCTAGTTTTCCATTTCTTGTTTAATTTCCATTTCTTGATAGTTCCCTTCTTGATAGTCCCCTTATCAGATCTTGAGAAAACATTATTATACAAAGTAAGATTAATGCTTTGTTTTTAGGATTTTCCTGGTGGTGGTATGGCAAAAGTTTAATTGTATGTAGAGAATTGGTATCATCTAATTGACTTGCACACTGTATTGTGCAAGTGATTATTTTCATTTAAATATCTGCAGTATTACTGGATGGATAAGCTTACTATTAAAAATGAGACTGTTCTTTGGTAAATATGCTACTACATTATATTCTTGTAGAATGATATTCTTTCTAAGTTTGCCATTTATCTGTCATAAGATTCATACTTGTTAAATTTCTTGTGAAGATACATCTTGTGTCTGGGCAAGAAAAAAGAAACTGGCATAAAAAAGATATTCAAATTGCAAAAATAGGTTTGTTCTTTATAAGGACTTATTATTATTTGTGTATTTTATTTAAATGCCTTCATCACTTCTGCAGTCTGAAAATACGGTCCTTTCAGAAATTACAATATTATAAACTTCCTTGACTATGCGAATTCTATAGTAAGTACAGTGATGACCATAGAATAGGAGATTAGTACTCACTCGATTTGACAGGGCATATAACCTTTCAATCAGGGCTGCAACTATCCATGCTCGGTCTTATCCTTATGTTTATAGCCTAGTCTAGTTTTGTTTATTAGGGAGTGGGTCTTGTTGGGGGAAGTGGGGAGGAAGAGATGATTTAAGTATTTAGGAACTAGAATATTAGCAGTAAAACCCAAAAAATAAAAATACAGGTCTCTAAAGAAATGTCTAGAGCAGTGGACATTACATTTAGATTACTGAAGTTTTTTTAAAAAAAAAATGTTTTCTAATCAACAGATACAATAGACTAGCACTAATAAATACATCTCTTTAAACTGGTAACTCAGTTCAGAGATAGGAGACAACCATGTAATGTAGGGTGAAGCGCAAAGAGACTGAAAATTGTGAGATTAGTCCTAATCTCTGAGCATCATTTTCCTTTTTCTGTACAGTGAGGTGTGACTTCAGGGTCCCTTGTCTGAAAAGTTAGTATTACCAGATGGAATATTTTAGTAAATTATAATGAGGGCTGTTGTCATTTCTCTTATTCTTGACTTTGATGGAAATTAGTTTAACATAATAAGGCTGTTTAGGTAGGTAGTTAAAAACTGAAGTTAAAAATCTGAAAGACATAAATTCATAAAGTACCCATAATGTAAATGTTCAGGAAAATATAAAGAAATTGCCCTATTATTTGATATCCCCTCAGATTTTAACTATTTTCATTTTGGAGTAATTCTTTTTCAGTGTTTAGCACGTCAGAGTTATCTTTAAGCCTCCATCTATCCAGGCTATCTTGTTACCTGCTTAGCAATCATCTATATCATTTCTGTAATTCAAGCTGCTTGAACTGAATAACATTGTGTTCGGATCACTGTTTAATTCTTCCAGTTTTGATATAGTGGTCTACATAA